CCCCACCTCTGCCAAAAGCAAAGGACCAGAGGAAAAACGGCATAGGCCACTAACTCTGTTCCAAGCCCATCCGGTAGGACCTCACAGCAGCGAAGCCGAATTCGAGTCGGTGCCTCCAAAAGAGCTACGGTATTGCCCTGAAACCCTTCGGCCGAACTCGTACGGTCTTCTTGGATGAGGTCGCTCACAAAGAGCGACCTTTGAAGAAGCTGGACTATTCACAAGGGATCTGGACCCTTGGTGAAATTACAAACCTTTCTATCAAACAAAGGGTCGCACAAAGAGTTCGGGTCCCACCAATACCGCAAAGCCTTTTTGTTCGGCATGTTCCACTCCTCTCTTCATGATGGTCTCAGCTTAGGTCTAACCTACTAGCAGGGCCCAGTGGATGATGGTGGTTCAGTTCCAGGCCTGGACCTCCAAAATAGTGATTTGCTTGCCTACGGACTGTTAAGCAGGTAAGAACGGATACATGCATCTAAAAGAGTTTGCAACACCAATCCGAGAAACTTCCGATTGACAGGTGCCATGTGTTTGGTTGGTCTCCGCACACACAACGACTGGTCTCAGCGACCACTCCTGCTGGGTGTTTTGTCCGGTCTCCCTTCGCGCGCGAGTGTGATCGAGAGAACCTGCGTGGCTTTTGATCCTTTTATGGCCTGCTGATGCCTGGGGAGTCATATCAATAGACACCCCTTGGGCCCCTCCAAGACGTGTCTCCAAATCACGTGGCACTTGGTTTGGCTTTTCTTTTTCTACCTGGATCTTCCAACTATGCAACATGTATGTTGACTTTGTTATCTATAAACCCAGCCAAGAAAAGGCAGAATCGTTGCATCATTGGAAGATCTATATACAGTACGTAGGTAATTATATTCAAGTTGATCCATCAAGTCCTCCACAAGTCACATTGTGTTCGCGTTCTTCTCAACGATTCCTTCAGCTTCCGGGTCAGTCATAACACGTTGGTGTCCGCTTGGACGCGTTCCCGACCCAACTGATCCAACCCCATCCACTCGTGGTCCGTGGCGGCTTGCGGAAAGCCCTGAACGATCGGTCCCTTGACTCGATGCCAACTCGACTTCTGCATCCCGTTGGTTTGGGAGCTCGCATCCAGTTGCTGAAGTTGCCCTAGGCCCTAGGGCTCCTGGCCCCACCTTCGTTTCGAAGATGGGGCAGGGGTGGGTGCCAGGATGTGCCAGGGGGGTCTAACCGAACCTGAGGAGATGGTTGGAGCCCTAGGGTTGATAGAAGTGGGGGGTTGGAAAAAAAGAGCAGTAGTTGTCATGGATAGTTCTTGGTACGAAGTCAGTTTTGGGGTAGACCTCCGCTGGTGACTGGATCAGACAGATCTAACAATCATATACTAAATCTAATGTCAATATACCAGCACCACCTATTTTCGGGTGCTTTTTGGATGGAGCATACCACCCTTTGGGAGGTCTATAATGTAAACCACCCGACCTGGGTGGTGCTGGTGGAAGCAACATGTTTCTTCCCAGCCTTCACAGCTCGTAGGAATCCCACCAGCACGCTAAAGCAGAAGGAGCAAACGAAGGCCGCCCTGCAACAGCCGGTGTTCACGGAAGCAAACCACTTGAATTGGTTTGACCAGTGAATGAGCCCAAAAAGATCCCAAAAGGATCAACCCCAGGGCTTCTGGAGCAAACCTCATGAGCTTCATCCTTTGGTGCGGCTTTCCCCTTTTTACATCGGGGGGGGGGCTCTTTTCAACGCCAGTGGGTCCACAAGCCGCAGTGAAGCCGCGCCTTCCCAACCGGTGAATGGTTCATAGAAGACCAGTGAATGCTCCACCACGGCGTCCCAGACCCTTCAACTCACGAAAACCCTGGAAGTGGAAGCTTTCCACCACCTGTGTAGCTCAAGGAAAGGGGTCACATCTGGCCGGGCCACCGACTGGGCCCGACGTCGGTCCATGCGACATGAGTTGGAGTGTAGTCACTTTCATGCTGCGGCGACCAACCAGAAGCAAAGACCAGCCAAGGAAGAATGCCATCTCTTCCAACACCGCATGAATCCAGGGGACCTCTGGAAGGCTGGTGTAGAACTCCATCTATCGTTTCAGAAATGCATCGCGGTTCAGCATATATACCTGGATCCTCCTAAGAGGTGTCTCCAAATCACGTGGCTTTTGATGGCTTTCCTGTACCTATATAGATCTTCCAACGTCTTCTTCTATGAAACCAGCCAAGAGAAGACAGACATGTTGCATCGTTGGAAGAGAGACACCATCAAGTTGATCCATCAAAGCCTCCACAAGTCACATAATTGTTGGAAAGCGTTCTTCTCAACGATTCCTTCAGCTTCCGGGTCAGTCATAACACGTCTGTCGACCTGTCTCCCCCAGAAGTCAGACCGCCGGCGCGACACGACCACGTCGACGTCGATACGATGTACGGAAAACCACGATCACGACGACCCGTTAGGACAGTGTGCATAAAGGATCGGTTCGCGTTGGACAGTGTCCTAGCCATGCCTAGCTCTAAGAATCGTCAGGACCCTCTTTCAGGTGAAGCTTTGCTTCAGGTCCCCCTGAAGCAGAAAACCCCAGGGCCGGTCACCCGTCGGTCGGTTCGGAGGGTCTGTTGACGTCATGGTCCGTGGGGTACGTCATGGCTGGTGGTGAATGGGGAGGTGAATGTACCTCGCGCTGGTGGTGAATGGGTGTCCGGTCGAAAATTCGTGTGGTCTTCGCAGTGTTTGGTTGGAACCCAGACGCAACCCCCTTGGGGGTGGTCCATGTGGGTCATATGTTGACTCCCAGACCCAAACGCAACCCTGGACCCTCCGTTCCGTAGGGACCGTACTACCCCGAATCGGAAGCAAGCACGGGATGCTGGAGGGACCGGGAAAGGCCGGTGAACGGAGCGTTACTTACATGGATCGTAGACAGAAGATGCCAGAAAGATGCCCCAACCACCATCCAGTTTTGATCAAATCTGGCAGTTTGATGGAACACTCTGGGTGAGAAACACATGATTCACCAAGCACTGAGTCATTGGAGGTGAAATGGGTGTGCATTCAATCAGGGAGACCTCGCAGGCAACGACTCCCTGGAAAGAAAATGATAAAGGAGCTCAACAGACTACCTGACTACCTCTTCACATGGGCACGACCGTCGCATCCGACCGTACCTCTTCCACGCGAAAGGGCCATGGCGCACGGGCCACGGGCAAAAACAAACTGGCCGTGCCTTGAGTTGTAGATGATCAACCTGAACTCCCAACAGAGGTTGAAGGACCTTATAGGACCCTACAGGGGGACCCATAGGATAGCCGAACTAGGGTTCTTCAACCTCTGCTGGTCTGCGATCGTCTCGTCGTCCCCTCGCTCCCCTCTCGGCTGGGTGGGTGGACTGGTCAACCAAACCCAAAGGAGGTGAACATCCTCCGAAACGCGAGGCATCCAGTCAAACGCTGTTCCTGATGTGTCCGTCGCGATCTCTTTCGGTCTTCTCTCCGTTGGGAAGGTGTTGGAGTCAGCTGCGTCTCCAGCTAGGGCAATCTCTAAAAAGAACACCAAATATCATCACACTCTGACTCACTAACACGGACGTGGAGTTCACACCCTTGTTCGTAGAGCAAACTTGTCTTCCAGGGGCCTATGAAATCCACGTGACCACGTGGCGATCCGGAAGCCAGATCGAACCTATAAAACTCTGTGTGGAATCTCCTGATCTCGGGTGGGCCACATATGTCCTCATTCAACAACAGTGGGACGACCAATTCAATGTGATAGAAAATAATGCAAAGAATGCAAAGAATCACCTATCGAGAAACACAACAACAATATGCCAAATATAGAGCGTTCCTCCTGTTCCCCGCGTTCTTGCACGCTTCAAGCAGCATGGTGAGCAATTTGTGTAGCCTTGGCGTCTCCCAGTCGTGACTTAAAAACTCATCAAAGCCCTCCTCGGACGGTGGCTCGGGCTCTTGACGGAGGCACACGGACGACCCAGACGTGAGGTGGCAAGTGTTCTGCGAGCGAAGGGCGTGTTGATTTCACGCAGGAGTTTCTGGGGTTTCGGGTTGCTCAGAAGGTGGTCTGCAAGTGGAAGTTGGCATCTGATGTTTGATTTTGGAACGAGGTGAACCCTACTTCCAAGCAGCTTGGGGCAGCATATATAGTATCTGTGATACCAGAGATGATTTAGGACCCCGCTTCAGTTTCCCTCCAAAAGTAACAGGTAAGCCTTTGTCCACCTGGGGTCCTTTGCATCTTTAGCACAACACCAATCCGCCAGAATCTTCGACATAAACCTTGATATGTCCTATCGGCCGATTCCGATCGGAGCGTCCAACTCCCAGGTCCAAAGATTGAAATTCAGCTGCATTCTGCTGTTGGGTAGAAACCACATGAGCCCTCCTAGCTGGAGAGGACAAACCCTGCATTGGAAAGGAAATGGACGAGTCAAATACGGTTTGGAGGTCCCCCACGGGGTTGGTTTGGCCCTCAGGGCACCCACCAAAAATCATCAAAATCATTCGAGCTCTACATATCTCTAAGTAGATTGCTATGGGTACTATGGGTCGTTGAGACTCAATGACCAACTCTTTGTGGTGTGTCCCCCCTGACTTGGGGGGGCCGGGGCAGCCAGATGGGTTTGCTCTGGTGGGGCTACGTCATGCCACACGAGTCTCGGTGGGCTGGCTCAGATTGTAGCTTTCCTGCGGAGACCGAGCCAGCGAACGCCGGCTTATTGAATGATGGCGCCGTCACAGCTGGTTGGTTTATTTGTTCCACTCACGAAACAGATCGTGAGATCCATCATCCCATGTCATCATATAAAATGGTGGACAACCCAGGCAGTCTCTACATGTCTCATCGGGATCAACAAGAACTGGAGGGCGCAGGCAAAGCTGCCGATCTCCAAAGGCGGCCCGTAAAGGGTTTCCCCACACAAGAAACGGAACTGCCTCTGCTTCTTTCTCTTGCGTCCCTTTCCTCTTTTCTTTTTTCTGTTCGTTCCTTTTCTTTTTCTTTCTCTCTTTCATATGTCTTTCATCTTCTTTCCTCTTCTTCCTCGTCTTCTTCGAAAAAACGAGCACCTTCCGACCCACCGGTGGTCTCTCGACCACCGGCGCCACACCGCGTCCACGCCGGACCGCAGCTCGTCCGCTCGTCCTGATCATTCTGCAGGATCCCCGACGCGGGGGGTCTGAAGTGCTTCGCCCAGCCCGAGAGACACACGGTCAGTGGAACCCCTCGTAACCTCGGTGCGGTGGTTCCGAGTCCGGTGGTCCGAGTCCGGCGGTCCGAGTCCGGCGGTCCGAGTTCGGAGAGAAGACGAAGAAACGAAAAACGAGACGACGGAGACCCGGGGAGGTTGGGCAAAAAGCTCAGTTAGTTGCTGTGTTTTTGTTAGTTTCCATGTCCAGCCATGCTCATGGCCGCGTGGGAGGAAGCGAGTCCGAAAAGAGATCTTGAGTTGGTGAACAGGTGGTATGCTGTCTTTTTTGGGATGGTGAACAGGAGATGCTTTCGTGTTTTTATCGGTTTTGGGGGTTTCCGCAAAGGATCCGAAGCCATCTGTGATGGACCCAGGTCCGTTCGTCATCCGGGTTTCAGATGATGCGACCCAAGTGCGACGCGACGCGACGCGACACCCGGCATCCCGAAGGGACGGTGCAGGAAGACCGGACGGTGCAGGTCTATATGGCTCTGTACCCGGACATCGGGCCGTCGGGGGTATGATTCGGGGGTATGATTCGACCGATGTTTGGATCGATGTTTCGGATGATGTGAAACATGCGTCCTATCTAAAGTGCTTAGCACTGCATTTATGGAAGCAACCATATAGCGATAAGGCAGTGAAACAAACCGACTTTTACACAGCAATGTGCTTAGTTGACCGACTTTTACACAGGACACAACCAGTTTCACCCAAATTCATACTCCAAGTTTCTATGACATTTCACCCCTGGAGTATGTACTGCGTATACGGTCATTCCCGGAATCATTCCCCAAAGCTGGGTGTGGTATCACGGCGAGTGGAGTCAACAAAAAACACTTTGAGATGACCAGCGTGACGTGAAGAATCTTCCCACAGTGTGCACAAGAGTTTGCACTCCTTGCACAGTGGTCACTGATCATGTTACCTTCCGGTTCAAGTTAATTATATGTGACATTCAATTCCGTGGCGCCGTATCACTTTCGGTGTGTCACACACTTGTGCCTTTGACCCATCCCAAGGTTCCGTTCCAACCGTTCCTTCGTGACAGGTTCGTGACAGGTGGCAGGTGCGGTTCCACTGGTTCCTGTGACAGCTGACTGTTGCGCCGAGCCTTCATCAGCCATGGACGACTTCTCGCGATGGGCTGCGGACGAACAGCGACGGGCTGATGACGGCGGTCGGAGATGTCGAGCGACCAACGACGGAGGCGGAAGAAGCGACCAAGACGCGACCCGACACGTGTCGGGTCGCCTGGGAAACTGTGGTTTCTGCCTGACAGCGTCCCTTTCTGTATTCTTTTTGGGTGGAAAAGCACTGCTGTTGCCATCCCACAGCTTGGAAAAAAACAGGGGCCCAGGTCTCCGTGATGTCCCCAGGTCTCGTCTCGGTGAGAGTGGAGATCGTTCACGTCTGATCAATCTGGAAACCTCAACTGCCAGAAAGATGTGTTTTGTGTGTCCACCGTCCCAACCACCTAGTTATGTAAAGGATCCAAAAAATTGATGTATTGGAACAACCAGAACTGTTTCTGGTTGTTTGGGTTCCAAGGAATGAGAGGAGTGCATTCCGTGCTCAGAATCAGTAGTACTATTCTTGATCTTGATTGGTTAGCCCCCCGTGGCAGCGCAAAATTTCGCGGAAATGTCAATCTTGCAATTGGAGCATCACACTGATTCGGGTACAAGTGCGGGACAGGGCCTGTCAGTATGTTGCATACTTGCTGCTGGAAGAAGGGCCTTCACCGGAACAGAAGATACACAGCAAATATAGACCTCAGTAGCTCTGTCATACTATATAAACTACCTGAGGACTTCACAAGCTCAACACCAGCATCGCAGCATCACCCAAGGTTGAAAACACATCCAGCAACTCTTAAACATTTAGTGGTATAAGTTCACATCCAGCTCCTGGTTCCATTTCTCACTGTGCTATAGGAGCATTTAAACCACAAATCCTGTCTTCAAGATCTTCTCAAAAAAAGCCAGCGTGGACCATGGATCTCGAAAGTTCACTCAAAAAACACGGCCACCAAAAACGACTGGATGTTCCGAATGGACCCACCGAAAAAAAATAAAAGAAGAAACGACTGTTTGCAGGGCTTGTCTCCCAACTCGAAGTGTTTCTGCACCAAAAAACAACTGGCTGCACGAAGTGAGGGAGCTCCCTGAAAATGAAAAAAAACTGATCCGCTTCCACCCATCCGCATTTCTCTGTCCTTTTCAGTCAAGAGAAGAAGCCGCATGTGTGTTGCTGGGTGGCCACGGCTCATCACTGGGCAAATCTTCCAGTGGCAAATAGGAACCTCTGCCATGGAAAAGCGGCTCAAGGAAAGGCGCCACAAGCCACTGCAAGTGACCCACCCCGCTGCAAGTGCCACGGAGACACCCGATGATCTCTGAGAGCTCTTTGGATGGTCCAAGAATCTTATGGGTTGGAGGCCATCGCGTTGGACGCCATCGCTATTAGGTTGGAGGCCATCGCTACCAGGTTGGAGGCCATTGCTATTTAGGAACACGCCGTGATACACTTTGGGAGTCGGGTAGAGCTGTGTTCGGCCTTGGGATGTTTCTGGGGTGGTTTTTTCGGTGATCAGGGCGTCTCACACATCCATTTCGTCCACACTCAGACCATCTCTGCCAGCAAAGGGAACCCTATAGACTATCCTATAGGTACTCCTGTAGGGTCCTATAAGGTCACTTAACCTCTGTAGGTGAAGAGTATGTGTCGGAATGAACCCCCGAGTCCAAAAGAGAGGTGGTGGGGCAGTTCAAAGCAGCGCAGAGCAGCGCAGAGCAGCGCAGTGCAGAGCGAGCTGCAAGCGAAAATGGATCTGGACGGGGTGCTGACTTTGCACGCTCAAGGGATGACAGCGACACCAATTCATGAACCTGAACTTCAGAAGTTGTTGGAAATTGGTTCCGAAGTGTCCAGAAGGAGGGCATGGTCTTCATAACACACTTCAAGGAACATATCACCTGTAGCCACCCAAAGCTTTGACTGGTCTGTTCATGTCTGTCCGTGATTCCAATGCCTGAGGATCGAGCGACAAACTGAGCTACAAGAGCCAACGCTGTGTTAGTCATTAAGATTGCGGCTCAACTGGCAGCGCAGAGCGGAGTCGATTCTCTTCCATCTCCATGTTTCTTGGCGGTTCCCGCAAAGCGTCCATGGATTAAAACCGAAAAAAATGTTCACATGTTGGTTTATAAAAGGATTTTAGGGTGCTGCAAAAAAAACGATGTTCTTCCTTCCCCTTGATGTTGGGCCCTGGATGTTCTTCCTTCCCCTTGAACCAGAACTTCATGAGCCGATCTCCAGCAGTCGCATCCCGTCTTCTTCGGCCAGCGTTAAATTCCGGGGGGTGCGGGCTTTTTTCTTTTCGGCGTGAGGCGCAGCCCGGCGCCGGACCGGAGCATGAGGCCGGAACCTTTTGAAGGCAAGGCCGGGGAGGAGTCTGGAGGAGTCCGTTCTGACGAGAGTCCACCGTTTTAGCGCGGGAGGTGTCGCACGAACCGAGCCTGGAACCGAACCGGTGGGACGCGAAACGCGAAGACAAAGGAAGCGACTCGGCGACTCTCCTGTTTCACAGTGGATCCAGGCGCATGGCAAACCACGAGGACGGTCACCAGTGGTTCCAGTTTGACCGACATTGAAAGCCTGGTGCCTTATCTAGCTATAGCTGGGATCCACCGGTCCCCCCGGGATTTCAAGAACAGACTGGCAGCATTAGGGTCACTTCGTGGCATCTCGCTTGGAGCCACCGCGACCAAGAGACGTCCTGGATTGGCGGAGCCAGGACGCGACCCGTCAGCCGCTGGTCACGGCTGAATAGCGTCCTTGTTACTAGTAGCTTCTTGTTACTATAGTAATGGCCTCCACCCTAGTAGCGATGGCCACCACCTAATAGCGTCCTTGTTCCTAGTAGCCCCACTCCTGGCGAAGGGGTGGAGGAAGCTTTCGTTCGAGTCTGTGCCCCGCCCAGTCGATGTCTATGACCCTGGGACCTCTCCACTAGCGACAGCCTGGGCTTCATGGTGAGTGGAACTCTCCTCACGACACCTCCCCCAAACGCAAAGCGATGGGTAGGTAGCTCACGGAGGTGCTTCCTTTCTGAACGAGTGCTGATCGACTGCATCGCGCGCGAAGGTAGTCGACTGCATGTTCCCGAAGGGTTTCTGCCCTTTGACACCGGTTGAACCGGTCTGAATATCAATCCTCTTAATCTCAAAAGGCGGGCTCTATTGAAGGGTCTATGGGGTCTCACTTACTGAAAAGCCGTAAAGTCGGGCAGACGAAATCAGACCGCTCTGAAACCAGATGGGTTGATTGTTCACCCAGTTGGTCCAACGTGTTGGAGGGTTACCTTTGTCCAAGTACTTTTGGGGTGGGAGTGATCCTAGTAGACCAAATGGAGTCGTGGTGGATTTCAAAGGGTGGGAAGAACGTGAAAAGAAGGCAGTCAGCCGTCTTTCTAAGTGATTAATATCTAACAGTTGTCCAGAAAAGAACTTGGGATTTGAGCAAAGGATCTATAGTAGTAAGATGTAGTAAGAGTGGCAAACCCCTACTTAAGGGAGGCAATGTGACTCATCAGTTTTGAAAGAAGAAGACAAAAAGACAAGAAGACGAGAACTGCACTACCCACACCAGTTCTTAAGAAAAAAACGGACTTCAACGATCTGAAGTCACTTGTTGGGGTGGTTTTGTTCGTCCCATCCAGTCAGTGGATGTGACAGGGGCAACCCTATCCTCCGTTCGTTCGGCGCCCCGGGCCTTTGTGACTCCTGGAATCCTGGAATATACACTTCAAACAGCTTCCTGGAGAATTCTGCCTTCAGCAGTCTGTCTGAAACCTGGAGCAAAGCTCCCCTGATGACTGTCAAGCACAGGGCATTCGATGCTCGTTCTCCGATCAATTTCACTCGTTGTCCGAGAGTTGCCCAACAGTAGAGGTCGACGCAGAAATCGACAACATGGCAGTGAGCCTTGGTGAACACCTGCAGATCGACTACTTAGCGCTTTCGAAACCCACTAGTCTCTACAAGCTTTCATACGGGATCTATACGACCTCCAGCTCATACTATCTGGGCCATATGGGCTTCAGTCCCAGTTCTCAGTCACCTTTTCTAACAGAGATACCATTCCAGGTGTCCACCATGGTTCTTGGTGTAACTCAGCCCACGGTTGGGTTCTTCTCTTCTGAAACGACGACATCGCCCAGATCTGCACCCGGGGCAATGTAGGGGCTGAATAGCGAGGGGTCCCGGGCATCGAAGCAATACGCTGACATCGAGTCTGGCTGAGGGAAGATGATGCTGTGGATCAAAACTGGGAGGGCCCTCGTTGACCAGGAGTACAATGATCGGTACGTGAGCTTTTGAGATACGGTACATCGAACACAAAAACGTCGCGTACACGGCGTCGGACAGCCGTATGACACAAGACCTGGATGATTCCAATGGTGCAAAACGTCTGCCTTTTCATCCATAGTCGCGGTGCACCTGGACTACCTCCATGGATAGCAAGCACCCCGACACGAAACTCCATCTATTTCTTCAGTCAAAAGTCCCTATCGCCGGTCAGGCCCGATAACCATATTGCCTGCTCGTTGTTTGACTCTAAGACACCCAAACCCCACTTCTAGGGAACCACGGTCCCATCGGAAAGAACACATCCATGTGGTCCATGTTTCTTCACAGTAAAAACAATGGTGGGCTGCTTGGAAGCGCAGGGACTCTTCACTCCTGGGTTGACACTCATGGTTGCCTACTACAAAAGGAACGGATCTTCAACGGGTGTCTCCACCGATCCGCACAGCCCCCTCCGATCCGCGCGGCCGGAAGCCGGCGCACGCGGCGCACAGCTGGACGTCCGACTGGCTCAACCAAAGATCGGACTGTGAAGCCTTAGCATGCTGGGTGTATTCTGCCTCCCTGGTGCCTCCCAAGCTGTCCAATAGGGCCTCCCTGGTGACCCAAAGGGAAGGATCTGCACCAGTTGGTGGATTGTGTGTCTCGGTTCCAGTGGTGCACGTGCACGTTCGTGATTACGGCACGGCACAGTGACTGCACGGCTGGCCATTTTGGGGTGAACGCTACCTTTGAGCCATTGTAGCTGATTCCTTGTAACACGCGATACACTCGAAAACATCATGGAAATGGTGTTCACCACCTCTTTGAATGTCGGGACCATGTTGGGACATGATCCCCTTGTTACTAGTATAGCGGCCACCGGGTTGGCAAAAGGCTTTCCATCTGACCTTTTTGAGCCAGCCTCGGCCCAGCAGGGTGGACGAAGCGGAAACCACGAAAAAAGGACGGAGAAGAATTTCGAGGTGCCAAAAACATCGAAAACACGGCGAAAGTTGAGGCTCTTGGCTCAGGCCGTGCTGCGACTGGTGGAATTCTTTGTCGGAATTTGGTGTTTGTTCCACTGAAAAACGATCACCATGTGTGGCAAAGTGGAAAGAACATCAAAATTGATGCATGTTTATATAAAACAAGCCAAGTTAGGCAGACATGTTGCATAGTTGGAAGTTCCAGGTCTACCAGGCTTCTTCACCTCCGTTCCCGTTTTTTGTTGCCTGCTCCCTGACCTCGCTCTGCGAACTGGAGAGAGGGAGGGGTCTACACCTGGGTTTCCCCAGTCCCAAGCAGAAAGCAATGGATGGAACTCACCAGTCCCAGCCATTCCCCAGGCCACCAAGGATCTCTGGACATGGCCGGAACAACCAGAACTATTCCTGGTTGGACTGGTTGGGACTGGGGAAGCCCAGGTGTATCCCCTGAAATGTTCGCCCGTCCTGGCTCCTCTCATGTCCTTTCGGGAATAGCAGGGGGGGAGTCCATGCCAGGTACCATATACCTACATCCCAAACGATCCATATGTAAGCAAATATGACCTGGAGACCTACATTCACCACCCAAAAACCACCAGTCATGTAGGCCATAATATCTGCTGAGAAAACCACCAGTGTGCAAGAGGGGTGTGTGCTTGACCAAACCGACCAAACCGATCCACCCTTCTGCGCCATCGCCATCCGTCCGTCGGTGGGCGTCTGGGCCCAAACTGAACGTTTCTCGGGGGACTTCCCAGCACATCCAGCACTACGTTGGGAGAGCAGTCTACGTGTATCGACCGGAGTCGACCGGTCGGAGACCCAAAGAAAGCTTCCCAGCTCCATGGGACTGCCAATTCGGACTGCCGATCAAGCCAGACCCCCCTGGCACCACCCCAACGGCCGTTTTGAAGGCAGTCCGGACTGGCAGTCCCATGGGTCGCGTCTGGGCTTCACATGTTCTTTCATGTTCCGTTTCTGCAGTTCAGTTCATGTGCTCCAAGTGGGAAACGCGCCCTCTACTAACGACGTTTTCATCACCGACGCGACGTATGTGATCGATCTCTACGCTCTACGACGTATGTCTATCCAGGTCCAACGGATCCCCGACAGCGACATGTTGGCCGCCCAAAGAATCTGAAATGGTTCCCTACAAGTCCAAAGACCCAGTAAAACCTGGTCTTTTACCTCCTTAAGTATTGGTTTTGTATGACAATCCCCAGTAAAATGAGGTCTTTGACTTGTAGGGGTTGGTTCACTTACTTCACTTAGTAGCTAGGGATCCACTGCCACCCTCTCAGGTACAGTGAGGAAGGAGACACTGAGACAGGGTCGGGTGTCAGGGTCGGGTCCAGTCGTACCGAACCTGAGGAGAAGGTACGAAAACAGATCCCTATAGGGTTCCATGTTTACCAGACGCCCCCACCACCTGGGAGAAATGTCTCTCTCTCTCTCTCTCTCTTCAGGGAAATTCCGACCTTCGATTGGGAGGCCGTCTCTGACATTCCACCAGCCGTCTCAATCCATTCGATCAGGCTGGGCATGTCTCATACGTCTTCCTGGGCACGGAGGGCGGAGGATGGCGACCGTATCACCGGGCGGCAAGAAGCAGACTTGTGTGTCCTCTCCTGCTTGAAGAAATCAATTGTTGTGGATCCATGCCTTTGGTTTGATGCTTGAGGATGCAAGACCACGGATGCAAGAGCATGACATCTGGCTCCGTCACGGATGCTGCCATTTTTCCCCCAAAGATGAGCAAACCAATCGCCAGCGGTTTGTGGACCAGCCCACCAGACCTACCTGTGATATAGGGAGATCTCCCAGGCGTTCCGACCCCCCCGTTCGGGAGGTTCGGATGGTTCGGTATAGGCCAGTCTTCAGTCTACCCAAGGGTTGGGGGTCTTGGCCAAGAAGATACACATCCAAATGCTCAGCTGGCCCAGAAAGAACCCTCTAAAGCGAAAACCGAAGCGACACGAAACGCTCCTACCTGCTGCTCCATCTGGATGAACGTTCTAAAAACCGTCGACAAATTCCCCGAACCCAGCGACATCCGCGAATGGCAAAAAAAGGCATGAGAAATCCGTCTCTGTTGAATCCATTGGCCCACCATATATGAGTTCTATTAAGTGCTTGGGTTGACGCAAACAATCCCAAGGACCCTGACCAATCACCCACCCGTGGTGGAAGACCAATTTCCGAAGACCAACCCAGTGGTTTTGGGGGGCCATGTTCATCAGCAGGAGAGTAACCCATACCCCGACTCATCCTTCCTTAATCTTTGTCCTCTGTGTTTTCATCCACGCTTTACAGCCTAAAACACCGCCATCCCTTTAAAAATGTAAACGGGTCGCGACCACACCATATCCGGCTGGAACCGTCTGCCCCGCAGTACAACCGTCTGCCCATGCCCGCCTGGATGTTCCATGCCCCGGTATTCGCGCCGGGTCTCGTCGATCTGGAGAAGCAAAGGCGATGCCACGGTCTCCAAATGCTGCCCAGTACAAAGATCCAAAAGGCAAAGGGGATGGCCTCGCTGGGTCGAAACCCCGCGGAGGACCGCTTCGAACCCGTGGTCGACCCAGTCTCCGTGGGATCCAAAAAGAGAGGGACCACATGCCAGGTACGACCGCAGGAGGGGTTGTGAGGACCTCCATTTTCCCATCAATTCCACCGGTCAGGCCATCCATGCGGGTCTCCTTCACCCGACATGGCCAAGCTGCCGAGTGCTTCTGCCCGAGCTGCGAAGCTTGGTGGTGGTGGTGTTTGAACACTGTTTTTGTCCAGCCGATCTGGGGCCAGGATCTGTTTCCAGGGGAATCCGTTTTTCTTCTGGGTGAGGGTGGTAGAGATATCGCTGCAGCTCGGCGAATTGGCTCCATGTCACGCAAAAAACGATTCACCGAACGAACTGCACCTGTTCTTGTAGCCAGAAAAGGTTTTGCAGGTGATTCACTGATCTTTAAAAGAATGTTGGAATCTATATGGGTGTCTTATTTGTATAGGAGAAACCCTCCCAACATATGGGTACCACCTTCAGTTCGTGACCTAGAGATCCCAGTGGAGGTCAGAAAGTGCTCGTCCCTGAAGCAGAAGCGCAGAAGCAGACAGTTCACAGACGAACAGAAGAGGTCACGAACTGAAGGTCCTGGTAGACTGGTCTATCTTCCGAACCTTGCAGTGCGGTGGTTTCCCTCACCTGTCGGTGAGAGCGACAGCCCGGGCCGATCGACCGAGCGACCGCCCGGGCCGATCGACCCCGACTCAAGACCGCCCATCCTCCTCCAGTGACCTACTTGATGGGTAGTGTGAAGCGCTGAGCGCTGAGCGCTTCATCCTTGACCACTCATTCTGTATGCTACGGTGCTGAAAACCCAGAAGCACTCCCTCTGCGAATCGATGCAGAACGTGAATAACAGGACTACCCATCCGGACTCCGGTCCGAGGACTCGGTAAGAACCAACGACCCTGAAAACCTCATCAATGGAGTATAGTGAGTAGTAACCAGAAGCTACGAACGGGGCTCCTGGCCTTACTACGAACGGAGCGAAGCAAGCACGCTACGATACCTTCGGGGCTCCTGGCATCGCTACGGTTCGTAACAAGGCAGAAGTGAATAGTGTTTTTTGTATGACCAACTCCACTGAATTTCCAACGGACCTGTAGGCAAAGATCTATAAAGACATAATCCCATCTCCGTGGAGAACATCTCCCCGGTCTCTACTTAGTGACTGGGCGCTACAACAAAAAGGAGAGACGACACAAGAGTTGCTTTCAGCTTCTGAAACATGGGAAGTCTCACTGAGTACAGTAGATCCTTTGTGAGCTCAGCAAAAGAACCAAAGAAAACATGGCAAAAGTCAAGAAGCCATGGCATGCAAAGCCCTCCTCTTGATGGGAGGCCACAGGCTTGGAGGGTGCTTCATAAGGCCACAGAAGATCCGCTGTGGCGCATTTGGGGCGCACCACTTGCAGTGGCTCACCCTCCTCCCGGACTCCTCCCCCCTTCGAACTCTTAGAGCCGAGGTGCGCAATATAAGCTATCGACGTCGGTTGAAAGAAGAACTCCATGATAGGAGATCACCATGGTGCAAAGAAAGACTCCCAAGGGAAGCGACAAGAGAAAGGCACTCACCTGGACCAGAGAGAGCGGCGCCGGACTCGACGCCGGGGGGGACCACCCTGTCCGCTGGGGAGGACCGGGCCGAGAAAACCGTTCCGGAGGCCGTGGTGAGCACGGCGAATTAGGGTTTCGCAGGCGGAGTACCCTACAGGTCAGTTGGACCTGAAATTGATGAGTTGATCATCGGAAAAAGGTAAAAAACACACACAACGAACATGAGGTGTTCGGCACCAGACTGGACCTGGCGGTCGGAGACCTGGAGATCAGACGGCTCTTGGAGCACGATCTGCGGAACGAGTCCGATCTGGTCCGGTCTTTTGATCCTGACTGGTTGCAGCTCGCGTGGCTGGAACGAGGGTGGCTGGACCCCAAGCCAATATCTCTATCTCTACCGAGTCTCTACCCTCCCGAAAAGAGTCATGCAAGTGGATGGCATGGTCCCCTGGAAAAGGCCATTGTCCTCTACAACCCGGGGGGGTCCACTTCCATGTTTGTTGGAGGGAGGGTATATTGGATGACATTGTCCTTCATTCATTCCCTGCCCACTTGATCGGTGCTTTTTGCCCACCGTGAAGGCTCCAGGGTCTTGCCACAGGAGACTTACCCACTGAAATTGTACCTGCCAACAACTTGAGAGTAGGGTGGAGGCCATCGCTTCTAGGTTGGAGGCCATCGCTCTTAGGTTGGAGGCCATCGCTTCTAGGTTGGAGGCCATCGCTCTTGGGTTGGAGGCCATTGCTATAGGCCAACGCTCTTAGGTTGGAGGCCATTGCTATTAGGTTGGAGGCTATTAGGTTTTCATGAATCTCATGAGGGCTTAATGTAGTCCCTTGATTTATAAACCCCCCCCCCTCAACAACCAAGGCCTCCAAAATAATGTATATGAAAATCAATCAGTTGATAATTAAATAAGGAATCCTTAGCTAGCTACCTCTGGAGCTACTCTCGCAATATTAAATTAAAAGGAAATAAGAATTCCTAACTTTGAAGACCTCTGGCAATATTAAATTAAAAGGAAATTAAAATTCCTAAGTTTGAAGACCTCTGGCAATATTAAATTAAAAGGACATCTCAAATTTCTTAATAGAAATCTCCATCCAAAAGCCTCCAAAAGCATCAAATCTCAATGGAAATCTCAACTTTTCTAATAGAAATCTCCATCCAAAAGCCTCCAAAAGCATCAAATCTCAATGGAAATCTACAAAGTTTTAATAGAAATCTCCATCCAAAAGCCTCCTAAAGCATCAAACCTCAATGGAAATCTACAACTAAAGAGCTTAGGAAAAGTAAATAAGGAATAGAGGGTGAGTAAAGCAAATCAAAAGGC